ATTTATGCGTGTCATCCTTGCACAGGGGCCATGCTAATCTTCTCTGTATCGTTCCAATTTTAACGGATGTCCCGAAGGACAGCATTGATTACTATTACTAGTATTTACTATTTAGTATTTACTATTTACTATTTACTATTTACTACTCAATTGGGAAGATTTACCACTGCTCCACCTCTAGGGTTTAGACTGCTACCAGTGGGGCTAACGATGGATGGCCTGGGCAGCATTGATTGCTTGCTGTTGGAACAGTCAACTTTCAGATCATAACTTGCCTTTTTGTGTTTTCTAGTACTCAATTTCATAATCTGTTTGGTTCTACAAGTAAAATCTACCTTTTTCCCCCGAATACAACGTTGAACGTACTGTCATTATAGATTTATTTGGGTATCTGCCAGTCTAAGAAGACTCTAAATACAGCTATAATGCCCGAATACGTTGTATTTGGGGGACAAAGGTAGTCTGATAGAGTAGAGTAGTCCAATTGCCTGACCCATTCCTTTGCAGTACACTGGACTTGAATCTCAGGTAATCCCTTTCATACTTAATAAAGTTAGAATTGCTCAGTGACTCTAAATGCCTGCAAGGTTGGAGATTTGCTGATCTGTAAAACTGGGGTTGAAAACTATTATTTATTATTTTGGCCCTCCTAGCTGATCTTAACCAGTTCCGTCTGCTGTACCCGGAGGGCCTCTCCGTTTAGTCTGCGATGTCGATCACCCTCACCTTTCCGAACCCTCTCTTCTCTTATCGATAGCCGGGAGAAGGAATACCGGGAGAGGTCCTCCGGGTACAGCAGAGGGAAGGACCAGGAGGGAAATGGTTAAGATCAGATATATATGAAATAGAGGATCTGGCTCCTATTTTGTTTTGAAAAGTATGGACCATTTCTCTATTTATGTGTGTCATCCTTGCGCAGGGGACATGCTAATCTTCTTTCTCTGTATCGTTCCAATTTTAACGGATGTCCTGAAGGACCGAGGAAGAGGAGGAGGAGGAGGAGGAGGAGTCGGTTACTGGTTCACCGGCAACGGCGACAAGTCAAAATCTCAAATACAACCCTTTGAGATGCTTTCCCGCGTCACGGCCCGGGGAACCCTGACACCCTTGATTTCTTCCATCAGGAAGGATCGGCTGTCAGCCAAGCCCATACATTCATTAGAGCATTCCCACCCTCAGCTACTTAGCACCAAATAAACATGCCTAGAAACGAGCCCTGAGGTACCCTATCTGATCCAAACCCTAGGGTAACCCTGCCCTATAACCTCTCTCCCTGCATTAGAGTCTGCGGTATTGAATAGATTGCTCCCTCTCAGGAGGATATACCTCTGATTATCTGTTCCCCCCCTCTCCTATCCCCACTCCTTCCCACACTGTAGTGGTTCGATCCCCTCCCCCTGTTGCCTACCTACCTTTGCCTGCCCTTCTACCTTGCCTCCCTAAGCCCCTTTAGGCTGCTCATGGCAGGCTCTACTAGAACCCGAAACCAATACCCTAAAAGACAACCCTAAGCTATAACCTCGTTCCCTACTTGTGAGCTCGAGGCATTGATTGCTCATAACCCTAAGCTATAACCTCGTTCCCTACTTGTGAGCTCGAGGCATTGATTGCTCCCTCTCAGGAGGATTTCTCTCTGCTCCTCTTCTTTCCCACTCCCCTACCCTCACTCCCCTCTTTTGTAATAATGAAACGATCTTCTCCCCCTCTTACATACCAAGCCTTTCCTGACCTGACTATCTTGCATCCCGTCTGTCCTCGTTCCACACGAATCCACAGTCCCTTCTGCACTCTTGTGGTACACTCCACCCAGTTTCTGACTGTTCCTTCCCCTCCTCTCAGGGGCCCTCTCAATGAGATCCAGGTGGTCCCATGATACTTCCCTCCCCTGTTGGTTCTGCGCTTCTTTGTTTCCCTCTCCCTGCCCACCATTTCCACTTCGTTCCTTTTTTTTTCCCCCCCCTTTTTTTTTCAGTCCTCCACTATGGCTATTTTAGTATTTTCCCTTGTCCCAATGTTTACCTCTCTCGAAGCCTTCCCTTATTTCTTTGGCTTTCTTCGGACTCCTCCCATTCTCCGACTAACCTTCTTCCATTGCACCGTGATGTCCGTCTGTCTTAGGCTCCTAAGTTCTTCCTCCTCTGTTTCGTTTGCATGCATCGGCTTTTTTTTTTTTAAGGTTGCCAGACATCGGCATCTGCTTTCCGAAATTACTATATAAAAAAATTTAGTAAATTACCCACAAACCATATTGTCTCAACTTCTGATAGCAATCCTTGTACAAAACCCGGGACCACGTATTCGGAGTCTGTATTCCCATCAGCACTGTAATCGCCAATCGGACTGTCCGGCAGGCAGGTGGTGGCTGTGACTCCTTGCCAATCCTGCCAGATTCGCTTTGCGTTCCGGCAATTCCAGCGTACAGTGGCTCAGTGTTTCCCTTTCCCCACTACATGAGGAAACTGCATGATGATTGGTAAAATGATGGTATGGGTGGAACATGGAGGAGCAAGGAGCATTGAATGGGATGGAACTTCAAGCAGGTGATAAGATAGATGAACAGCGGCTGTGGACAAGGAAGGAGGAATATAAGGCAGTTGAGGAGGGAGGGGATTGAGCAGTAGTAGAATATGCACAATAAGCAGGAGAAAAAAAAACAGACCAGGAGAAGCTATCCTGGCCTCTACCTTCCGCTGCACCGGCTGATTCATTCACCCACTCAGCAAGCAACAGGCCAGAAGCCCTTGAAAACGGAGAAACAGCAGCTCCCAGAAAAAAAGGCTCACTCCCCTTCCCCCCCTCCCCCTCCCCCTTCCCCCCCTCCCCTTCTCTATCTCTCTGTCTGTGTGTGTGTATGTGCTGTCTCTTATACACATCTAGATG